TTCGAATTGGTCACCTTCGGCACGAATTATGGCCAATGCGGTATTTTGGCCCATTCCCGGCGAAGCACTTGCTTGAGGTGATCTACACTTTGGTATTTTTTAGTGGCCATTGTGCGCTGGAAATGAAGCGAGGAACCTCATTTTGTAACCATTCTTGTGCTGAGTGCGATGGTGCTGAGTCCTGTTGGAATGTCCAAGGTCTGCGCCAAAATTTTTGGGTGCCTAAGGCTTAAATACACCCTCCAGAATATTTTCGCTATAATATTTGGCATTTATTCTGATGCCACGGTTGATTAGTACGAGCGGAGAGCGACGATCGGCTGTCATGGCGGCCCACACCATCACAATGGCCGGAACTTAAGTTCTGGTGGCCAACCGAAGGTGAACATTTTCAGCTGACCTCTTTGGAAAGTAAACACGATAATTTTGTTTATTTACAAACTTCTGGACAACGAATGTTTTCTCATCGGAGAAAACCAAATTCGGCAGTTCATCACTTTCGGCCAAGCGAATCAACTCTTTAGCATTTTTGAATCTATTTTCTTTCTGTTGCGGTGTAAGTTCTTGCACTTTTTGGAATTGCAATGGCTTTACCCCGAGCTCATTTTTCAATATTTGAAGAATGGAATATTGCGATATGTTTAGCTCACGAGCCCTTTTTCGGCCACTGCGACGCGGGTTTCGATCAAGTCGCTAATTTACTTTTTGAACCATTTCTGCTGATGTTGCTGTTTTCTTCCGTCCACTTCCTTGACGTCGGACTACGCTACCAGTGTCACGGTAATGAGCGATGGTACGAGACACAAAAGATTTATTCACATTCAAATGCTGGAGTGCTGTAACGATAACCACTTGTGGTTTTCCAGCCAAATATAAAGAAATCACACTATCACGCTTGAATTCCATTACAAATAACTTTTTTCTGGAAAATTCTCACCAAAATGCTTTTGTACGCTTGTAAACAATATAATGAGCTGTCACTGGAATAATTTTAACAGTTTTCGGCCGAGTGCCTCAGAAATTATAGCAGTCTGAAGTTGGTTGCAGTTTTTTCATTTCACCCTGCATATTAGGGACATCTTTAAAAACAATAGGCCTAGCCATTCTGAGCCTAACCCTACCCTTATGAAAATTATCGTGAGGATCGGACGATAATTGCATTCTGTATATAATAACCCCAACCTGTGTCGTAAGGTGAAAAATATACAAAACGTACACTTCAATATTATAAGTCAAATTGAAAAAACAGCATTCGATAAAAAATATGAACAAAAATATCACAAAATACTACAAAATCTACACGGGTACTACAAGTAAATACATGCTTAGATGCAAGTACATCAGGTAATGGATGTAGGTAAAGTTATGCGTAGATACAAGTATATATATGTTTGGATGTAAGCATATATATACTTCAATGCAAACACATATATGATTGATCCCAGCATGTATATGCTTAGATGTTAGTTAAAATATGCTTGGAAGCAAGTAAATATATGCTTCGAAATAAGTATATATATGTTTGTATCGAAGTATATATCTATATATAAAAGAAAGTTGTGTTAGTTAATACGCTTATAACTTAAGAACCGCTGGGCTGATTTTAACGATTCATATAAATTCGGAATTATCTCCTGTCCGAAAAGGATAATATCCAAAAAATCGCGTAAAATTGTGATATATTAACATTTTCATTTTGACTTTTGGAATGTACAATAGTAATGTTTTATTTTGCATGATTTTTTTTTTTTTTTCATTTTGACTTACTTTTTTCTAATGTACATTTGTACTGTTTTTTATAATTTAATTTTTGAATTCGAATATTAATAACAATTTATTTAATTGACTTGATTTCTTTAGAACTGAAATTGATGTCGGGTTACATGGAAGTGTAGTACCGAATTATGTGGTGGCGAAGCGGAATAGATGATATAGAAATAATTTAACAAAATCGCTAAAAAATCACAAAAAAAGAGATCTCATTGCAAAAATTCTCAAATTGGGAAAATATCGAAAAAAAAAATTCAATGGAATCGAATGGAATTTTAAATAATAATGGAATTTTAAAATAATAGTACATTATATTGACAAGCTTTGTAAGGATCTTTAAACATTTGTTGTAAAAAACAGCGAAAAAGTTGAATATTTTTTCAATTTGTTATTCTTCTTTTGTCAATTTTTTTCAATTTGTATTATTATATTGAATTTAGTAGATTTTTTGGGAACAAAATAAAGAATAATTTTTCACTATATACAATTTTTCACCAAAAAAAACATCAAGATTATGGTATCTTGATGTTTTTTTGCAGGTCGTGATATCGATCATAACTCACGGATAAGGGTACAACCCGATTTCATATTTATATAACCATCGTATGATTTAAGCTATTTCTGGGGTCTTGGCCACTTCTTTCATTTTTTTTGGCCCTTATTTGGCATCTTTGTTTCTAAGGGGGTATATAACCTCTTCGCATAAAATTTTATATTTTCAGAGTAGGGTCTTGACCACATTCATCAATTGATTTGGCTAAAAAATTGTATATATGCTACCTTGAGGTAGGGAACCATCATACAGATAATTGCCCCATAGGAATTTATTTAAGTAAAGTCCCCACATTGGAGTATCCCCAAGTCCACTTTCACATCTAATGTGTGGTCAGAAAAGAAAATTTTGTATTGCATTGAATTTGTAACCCCCAAGAGAATATTGGTTGGGAACGTAGATTTGAGATGTACATCTATATGAAATGAATTGTGAAAACATGAACAAATTACAAATATAAGAAAGTAGCACGGGACCGAATATTTGTTGAATCGCCATTGAGTTATACTATCTGATGAAAAAAATATGGACTTTATGGAGTCTCCAACTTACAATTTAAATGGCAAATAAAATAAATTCCCATCTTTCGGTAATGGGTGTGAAATAGCTATGTTTTTGATTTGGCCTTTATTTGTCATATTGGATTATAAGGGGTAGAAGAAAGTTTTCAATGTAGGTCGATGTTTCGGAGTAGTGCCCATATAAAGGTCCCTCCTGATTTTACCATATTTCAAAGGATTTGGCTAAAAATGTATATTAGGGGTGGAAATCTTAAACAAAAATTTCAACATATCTACAAATTTTAGAATTTTCTCCATGTAATAGAACCCCCTCAAGTCCACCTTTTGGTGGATAAACAGACCGACATGGTTAGGGGGACTGATGACGACTCTAATGCATAATCTGAGGTGCTAATTGGTTTAAAAAAGTAATTAACTTTGGCTATTCTTAAACCATTCAGCCCTAAATTATGAGGTGTACAAAATACAGTAAAATCCAAATTACTGCTCATTTGACTGGAAATTTTTGCTACGATTTTTACCATACTAAAAATTAATTTGATCCCTTACATCGGGATACGATTGATATATACTTTTTAAAAGATTTGGATAGCACATCCACACATTTGAAGTCCAAGGTTAAAATATTGAAGCCCACGGCTTAAATATGGGAACAGGTATATTAAAATATTTTTAAAACACTTTTAATCGACCAGTACGTGAACACTTATATCAGTCATATCTGTGAGTAATAATGCTTTGACAAATATGCATAATAGACAAAAACTACGGGCCGGCAACGCGGACCGGGCCAGCTAGTATTTAATATATATGGAACAGTGTTGGCTTGTTTGTTCGGATACAATTATTGTTGTTTTTATTAAAACAACGTTTGTTTATTAGTAAAGAACGATGGTAATGTTTACCATGGGGTAAGGCAGGGAATACCTAGGTTTCGGAAAGAGCCACCAATCATCATCAGTTCCCCAGCTTTTTGTCTGGGATATTCTCCCCAGAAGTTATTTTAAAAATAACTTCTATGACAAAAAACTTTTTTTACCCAAGTGACGAGATCGTAAGCACAATAGAAGAGGAAGCAAATAATTAAATAAAACTAAAATTCTTTTAAAAAATCTAAATCTTACAACCGCACTCATAAACATTTTCATTATTCTCCACGCAACAGCATCAATAAATAACAAAACACATATGTTCTAACCATGACAGAAGAATACAGGCTTGACATATTTATGTCAAAAAATTAACTGTTTTTTCAAATATAAGTAGATTTTTATATGTTTTCTTATACTACGTCATTCGGAGGCTATTATAATTCGCGTTTTTCAACAATTTAAAAGTTTTTCATTCAACATTTTCAATTCCAAAATTGGTTTGACAGTTCATTGTCCCAGCAGCTGTTTCGACGCGTCTACCTACATTCTTCTACCATGGTTCTAACATAAAAAATATGTTTGAACCCAAACAATTAAAATTTGAATATATTACAAAATGTTGCAAACACATATATACTTCGACCCAAGCATAATATGTTTGCATCCAAATATATATTTGTTTGCAAGCAGCCCCAAATATATACATACTTGAATCCAAACATATCTCGAACGTGTATTTTTGTATATTAACATCATTATTGGCATCTTTTTTGCGATTTTGAGGAATTGACCAAATTTGTCAAAATCGGTCTAGCCATTCTTGAGATATAAGCTTTAAATAACTAACACAAATGTTATGATCTATTTCACCTACTAAATATTACCCAATGACCATCCAAATTGGAAGGCTTCTGCCCAGCCCTAAGCTCTAGCCCCATGCTAATTTCCGCTCCGTTTGTTCAGAAAATTTTTCCGTTTTTGGTCCATTTCAACACCTAAGTATTATGCGATCATCTCCAAAAGCAATCTATTCTAAAAAAACAAAAATGCGTCGAAATTTTTATACTACCTAACATAAAACCTAAATTAAGGGTTTGCAACAGCAAGGGTGATATGCCATTGAAATGCATTTTGGCCAAATGGTTTTCTATGCAAATATAGAGATATATGGATAATGTTAAATGAAGGACTCTAAAAAAAGCCGTCATATTCTAACTTTCGATATTTAAACACAAATACGATATGTTGTTAATTTTGCTTTGCCATATACTACTGTGAACTTACCTCGTGATAAAACATTAGTAGTTATTAATACTTTTTCCAAACCAATTCTAAATCGATCTAGAACAGCCAAACGTTGTTCAACAGTAAGTTCACCTGAAAGCACTGCAACAGAATGTCCATCTGACGACAATTTCCCAGCGAGCCATCCAGCTGTTTTTCGAGTCTATAGAGAATAAATTAAATTTTATTAATATCATCAATGGAACAAATATTTTGAATGACATTGAAGTGGATTTTTTGTTGAAAATCTTCTCATTTCTTTATATTTTAAAAATTTTATGTGATAGAATCCAAAAAGATTCTTGTAAAGAAAATTCTATGAACTTTTACACTTTACATGATATAAGATTGCGGTTGACTTTCAAAATATAATAATTTTTGACAAAATGATTTAAGCCACAATTTATAAAGAAATAGTTTCAAATTCTGTATTTAGAGTTCGTACTGGATTCTACCTCCTGTGGAAAATTGTTTCAAATTTGGTACTTGAAACTCACAATAGATGCAATAGATGATATCCTCATTTAAGATTGCGACGCCAATGTGATATTTTGAAGTTTTTAAAAAGATCTCCAACTAAGTTCCCAAGTGTGTCCCAATACTTTTATATTTATATATTTTCTTTACCCGATGCAAGTTCGGCCCTCAAAATTTAACGTGTTTTCACTTATTTACATTATAAAATCGATAACATATAAAAAAATGTTGTTATGACTACCCCAATGTCGATTAAACGAGTTCACCAATTCATCGACGTTTGGTTCTGTCTGAACGTTTTTTATATGCCATACGTGGACGCCCACCCAACGTAGAGTTTCTAGATTAAAGCAATTACTGTTCAATTACTTTGTAAAATAAGTAAAACCTTCACCTTACAGAATCTAAGTCAAATGCACCCGTATCGAGCCAATCTTTTAAAGCCTTTTCCACTCTTTGTCTGCCACGACAATTTTTCACAAAAGTGATGAAATAAATACTACATGTTTGGGAAACTGTAAACAACATATGAGCAGTATTTACACGCAAACAAACGTGGAGTCAAGTTTATTACAGCTTACAAACTAATTTTGTAACGACTGATGCTTAAAATTTTTAAATATTTGATCATAATATTATTTATTAAAGGACAAAAATACTGATTTCTACAATTGTCGGATTAAAATCCTAATATAATAAAAATTACTTGACGTATTAAGAAAATAATCAGATTCTTCTAGTTGGTATATTTCCCATCAATTATAATCATGGTTTTGGCTGTTTCATTTGATAATGTGTTGAAGATACGCAATTCGGGCATTTCGCAATTTACTTAGTTTGTATGAAAAGAAAAACAATTGAAATTTTGGGAGCCCGCCTATGTTCGTATAGACTATATAGCTTGATGATTGCTGAGTACTAATTAATAAATTTTTAATATGAATATTTAAATTTATATAAATATAAAGTTGTATACGACCTTTCGATTTTAAAGTTATATAAATATAACACACCTGTCCTTTTGGCATTCCCCTGAGTTCTGATATACAAACAATGAAAATACAGTTATTATAATTAGCTTTCGTCAAATTAGGTTCAGACGTTGCAGAGGTATTCAAGGTCAATATTAAACTTTTGAATTTTATGTATTTTGCATTAATATGTGAGTGTTTTTGTTGTTTGTCATCTTAATATTCATTAGGAAAATTTTTTTACAAACTAATCATCATTTTGTTTCAAAACTAAGATGTTAAAAAATTTTCATTTATGTAAAAAGTCTCCTTCTCGGTTACCACGCCATTTTTATAACTTCCCATCATACTATGAAAGACATATTAAGTGTAATCATTTTAGAACCCATAGATTATTTATTCCTACTCAGTCAAGAAATTCAAAATCAAATTACATGTACACAAATTTGATATCGAGATGGGGACAAGATATAGCTTTATCCCGAGATATTGCCCATTACCGTCGAAAAAAAATGGCAACTGAATTTGAAATACAGTTGATCCTCATTTGTGCGGCCTGTACAGTTAAATCGGTTAAGTGATATGCTAGTTAAAATGAAACCTTTTGCAATTTAAATCAAACTTTTTGCAAATCAAATCAACTTTTAGATTTATAGAAGGAAGCATAACAACACATTTTTATTTTATGAAACTTTTTGCAGTGGAAATCCAACCTTTTGCAGTGGAAATGAAACCCCATAATGTACATACAATCATGATCTAACTTGATTTAATGATGTCCACCTGTCTGTCTGTTGTTATCACTATATTGATATTAAATTTGATGTAGAGATTTGAAATTTGGCACAATATTGTATTGTGTCTAGGGTGTTTGATATTGAAAATGATACCAGGATGTTTCAAAAACCATTCAATAGCACACCTAATAAGACTGCTCTATCCAAATAATGGATCTGCTGTTAAAAATCAAACAAGTTGCGAATCGGGAATCCTTCAGGTAAGATTAATAGTATGTTATAACTATAAAACCTTATAGTAAAGGCTAGTTCCGCATTTCAGTCCTGCCCATACAATCTATAGTAATAAAGGCCAAAATTTGTTCCAATTTCGTTTTAGCGTTAAGTACTAAGACTATTTAATATGAAAATATTTTATATTAAATCAAGAAAGAACCTTTTTTTTATTACAATAATTGAAAGTTTAAGAAATAATGTAAAAATATAGATATTAATAATCAATAAAAATTCCTCTTTAACTATATATTAGTAATAAGTTTATTTATTTTTAAATATACTAAAAATAAAAATGTTTTGTTATGTTTCTTTCTATAAATCTAATAGTTTCATTTGATTTGCAAGTAGTTTATTTTCGGTTGCAAAAGGTTTCACTTCAAATAAAGAAAGGTTTCATTTCCGCTGCAAACGGTTTCATTTCCACTACAAAAGGTTTCATTTCCACTGCAAAAGGTTGGATTTCCACTGCAAAAAGTTTAATTTCAATTCCAAAAGGTTTACCTATATTTTCCGTGCACAACATGATTATTTTATTTAAAATTCTAGGAAACCCCATTTTTTTTTGAGTTTAAGTCTCGTTGCCCTTCGTCTATAGCTGATTTAAGTTTAGTACCACGTGGTTGTTTGATGTGAAATGCTACATTTCTCCATTGAAAGTCTGTTTGTTAAATAATTTCTCGGACAATTTCTCATATTCCTCGTAAAATTCATTCCATCAAGGAAAAAATAGAACTGATTAAACGCAACCGCAAAAGTGTTTGGACTAGTAGGTTATCAGTAAAGTATAATGTTGGTAAACGAGATGTAATTCCAGGTGAGTTGACTCAAATTGAAATATATATATATATATATATATATATATATATATATATATATATATATATATATATAAATCAATTGTTGTTTGTTGTTGTTTGTTTGTTTGTACAAACGTTCGTCATACCCCGAGTTAGGTTTTTAAAGAAAAAAATATTAACCACGACTCCAAAAAAAATCGCGTAAAATGTGAAATTTGAACATTTTCATTTTGACTTTTAAAATATACAATAGTAATGTTTTATATTGCATATTTTTTTCCATTTTGACTTACTATTTTCGAATGTACATTTGTAGTGTTTTTTTTTTTTTTTTTTTTTTTTTTTTTTTTTTTGAATTCTAATATGATGTGTAGGGTAGTATAAAGCCACAACGGATAAAACTGTTTTTTTTTTTCGTTCGGTCCCAACGCCACTCTTACCCGCCCCTGCCGACCGAGGGGGCCACCTCCCAATACGTAGGGAGCGCGTACACCCCATAGTCCGCACCATGGAGGGTTAGTATTGTAGGGAAACACCAGCTACAGTAAAACATCAGCCGGTTTTAGTAAAAGGATTAGTATTACAAATCACACACAACGAGCAAAAATACAAATCTGGCAGCTCAAATACTATAATTATAAATTAAGTATTGATATTTTTATTGCATGCAAAGGTTCAGATAGTGATAAATTATTATAGAGGTTGTTATATATTTCACATAAAGATCTAAGGGGGTTGCTTAGTTCGTAGTTAGATCTCGCCAAGGAAAGATTTAGCGGTATATAATTACGAGTTATTCTAGACGGAACATTAAACTTTATTTCACTAATTAAAAATTGTGAATCAATTTGACCACGCAAAAGTCGTATTAAAAATATTGCTCTAAGCATTAAACGCCTTCTTTCTAACGATGGAAGGTCTATAAGTTTTAATCGATTTTCATAGGGGGGGAGTGCTTCAGACGGATTCCAGGGCAGACCTTTGAGAGCGAATATAATGAATTGTTTTTGAACTGCTTCTATTGAATTAGAGTAACATTTATAAAATGGACTCCACAACACGCAACCATACTCTAATGTAGGTCTAACTAGACTAGTAAACAAGCGTTTAGTTACGTAAGGGTCTTCAAACTCTTTAGACCAGCGCTTAATGAAACCTAGAAGAGACTTTGCTTTATTAACGCTAGATTCAATGTGTAAGTTAAAACGAAGTTTATTGTCCAAAATAACACCAAGATCAATAAATGAGTCTACATTCTCCAATTTGTATGAACCTACGAAGTAATCAGATTGAATATGTCTAGATCTGAATAATGATAATTTTTTGCATTTTTTAAGATTTAGTGACATGCCATTCATACCACACCAATTTACAATGGAATGTAGATCATGTTGTAAATGTAATGAGCTATTGAGAGAATCGAGATTAATGAACAGCTTAACATCATCTGCAAACATTAGAATTTTGGAAAACCTTACAACTGACGGAAGATCATTGAGATAGAGAACGAATAGTAATGGTCCTAAATGGCTTCCCTGAGGAACACCAGAATGGACTAGAATATTTTTTGAGATGGCATTTGTGAAAGACACCTTTTGAGTACGGTATGATGAAATCCAGTCTAACAATAATGTAGGGAAACCCATTAAATCAAGTTTGTGGAGTAATAAACTATGTACGACAGTGTCAAAAGCTTTACTAAAATCGGTATAAATTACATCAGTTTGAAATTTATTAGCAAAACCATTATGAACATAGCATGTTAATTCCATAAGATTAGTTAAAGTTGACCTACCTCTGATGAAACCGTGTTGACACGGTGAAAAAATTGGAGCCACAAAGTGTGTTAGCCTACGCGAAACCAAAAATTCAAAAAGTTTAGGTATTGCGCTAAGCTTAGCAATG